TTATAAATCTACAATAACAATAAAAAACTGTTCGAAACATATAATGCAATCTGATTTATTATTGGGGCCTTAAGATATAGGTCCCTGGTGACAAAATTTATTAGAACTAAATGACAAGTCCAACTAAACATTTGCTTCACATCCTTTATAAAATTCATTCCAGAAATACCCCTCCACTCAGTATTAAGTAAATTCAAACTGTATTTATCATTTTTTTTTGCATTTAATACTTTCATTTTTCCATATAACTTTTTTAATTATTTGTTTTATAGAATACCATTTTGTCTTCGTTTTTTTTTTCTTTCTTCATTTCAAAATTTTGTACAATTTTATAAAAATTTAACTTTTGTTTTTTTTTTACATAATATTGAAAATTACAAAAAAAAAACATGTTTTTTTTAATTCAATTTACATATTTTTTAATTTTTTATTTTATTTTTATTTTTCTTCTATCAATAAATATAGTCATCTATAGTCATCGTAGTCGCTATCTTCGCTTGTAGACATCTAAAACTTACATTTCACTTTATCGACATCCTCTATATGTTCACAGTCCGTAGTAGACTGTGGTGTACTATGGTATCCTCTATATATTCACAGTCTGTAGTATACTACGGTGTCTATTCCAAACCCTAGCCGCCAACCCTAGCAGTCAAAGCAACCTCCGTCCAAACCCTAGAAGCCGTCGCAACCGTAGTCGCCTAACCCCTTTTGAAAAATCTAGATCTACAACAAATCGGAAACAATAACAAATCATATCCAAACGAAGAAAAAACTTTAAAAAAATCAAGAAAATCGAATCCAATTAGTCAAAATATGCTTGCAATTACAGATCTTTATAAAAAAAATGAAGAAAATCGATTTGTTTATCTATTTTCATTATCAAATTATTATATAAAAAAATAGGGTAAATTACAAACACCCCCCTGAGGTATGATCAAATTACAAAAACCCCCCTCTTGTTTGGATAATTACATCTACCCCCCTCAACTATGATTTTTTTTCTTACACCTCCACCCCTATTGTGCCAAATTCAATATAATCATCTAGATTCCGTGGAATGTGCTCTAGTTTGTATTCATTTTGTGTAAAAATACAATTTTCGATGCACTACAAACTGATATACACAAGCTAAAAATCACATATTATGATCATCTTACTTCATAATGTAGAGTTTGAATGGTATAAAACGGGTACAAAAGTATAATATTTCATATAATTTCGAAGATTCCACTAAATTTGAAGAGCTGGGGTGGTTGTAATTATGAAAACAAGAGGGGTGTTTTTGTAATTTACCCAAAAAAATAAATAGAGAAGGCCTGCTCCCCCGCCGCACAACCCCGCCGCACAACCCTTTGAAACCACCGCCTTCTCCACCACTATCTACGCTGGACCTGCCCTGCTCCTTTTGTGGCTTCCACTGTCGGCCTTCATGGAGAAAGGAAGAGAGAGAGAGACCCTTTGTGGCTGGCGCCGGCGGCCTTCATGGAGAAAGGAAGAGAGAGAGAGAGAAGAGAGAGAGGGGGAGGGGGTGGGGGAGAAACAAGAAAGTCAGAATTTGTGGGGGTTTTGTTGAGCGGCGTGAGATGGAGAGGAGGGGAAGAGAGAGAAATAGTGATTATTATTAGGTATTGTAAGAGTATTTTTGGGTTAAATAAAAAACAAAGGATGTGTATCAATTTTTATTTTGAAATAAGGATGTAGTTAAAATGTTTTATTTGAGATTGTCACTCATATCTAATTAGGTTTTGGTTTGAGGGGTGTGAGGCATATTATCCCTTTATTTTATGACTCATTGAATAAATGGATCATTTTACACGAGGTAGTTACAAGTCAAATACCACAATTACTTAATTCTTTATTGAGCTGTAAAAATAAATAATAAATAAATAAATACAAAAACACTGATTTTATGGCCATTTAATTTGGTAAACCCCAATTCCCAACCTCATTAACTTATAAACCCAAAGCAAAGTAACCACTTTTTTCTTCATCTCAGCTCCAAAGTCAAACAGTCATAACTCACCTTTGCCATATAATTAAATATATTATTTTAATTAATCAATTCTCTAAGAACATAGTTATTTTTTTGAGAATGTTTATTAATTATATATACATTGTCCGAAAAGGAAGTTAAGTGCTGTAGTCAGAAGCAATGAACCATCTTCCATTATCATTTGATCATTTGTTAATTAATTTCACTAATCACACTTATTTAAAGTCCTAATCAAGATTTCTTTAAAAACCCTTCACCCCTTACGTATCTATAATTTAATTGATTATAAATATTATAAAACAATTTCCAGAAAGGAACAAAGAAAATAAGCAGCAGTTCCGAGGTGCGGCGTTCGGCGGAAAACAATTATTATTTAATTATTTTTGAAACAAACTCACTAACCAACATATTTTCAAACCAAATTATAATATGGAAAAAATTATATTAAATAATGCTACTTTGATGTCATTTTATTTGTCTATTTTTACCAATTTAAAATTCATATTTTATTTGTCTATTTTACCAATTTAAAATTCATATTTTATTTACCCGCTTAAGAATCCAATACATTATTATTTTTTGTACTAATTCTATCATTAATCACTCATTCTAACATTAATTCTCACTCTCGAGTATAAAAGCAATTGGTGACACCATCCATTTCATGAAACAATTATTGCTCATGCACAAACTAATAGGGTACAATATAAACTAATTAAAGCTTAGATTATAACAATGTTTTGAAATTTGGACCGGACCAGTCGGTTGAACCGGTTAAACCGCAAACCATTGATAAGTTGGCCGTTGCGAACAACTTGATGCACTATCTCCCATCTTCACCCCACAGGAACTATGAGATCACCCCAAGGGCGCCTTCGGCATCCAGGGGTCACAGACCGACCATAGAACACTATTCAATAAGTGAAACATATTAGCGGTCCGTTCTCAGATTGGGCTCGGTCCGGTTTTACCGGTTGAACCGTAATATTGTAACCAAAGTGAAAATTGGTTTTATTTGCCAAAAATTGTGTTTTTTTAAATAAATAAATGGCTAAAACGACGTCTTTTTACTGCCTGGTTGGAAAAAATTAAATTAATATATTTTTTTAAGAATTGGAAGAAATATTATTTAGATTATAATTTCTTCAATTAATTTTTTTTGAACGTATAATTTCTATAATATTTGAAATGATTAGATGTGATATGTGTGTGTAAAAGAAAAATGGCTTTGATTTATGTCGTTTCAATTGAAAATGAGTATTGAGATAATGTGTGTGAAAGAAAATATATTTTATTTATTATAAAAATTACTGAAATGTTAAATGTCGTTTCAATTTTACTAATGTCGTTTTGACTTCGAATCTGATTTTGACATATTTTTATTTTGATTTTGGCAAAATTTGAAACACGAAAACTGTAGTCCTTTGGATTAGCTTTCTAATCCAACTTAAATCCGCTAGATTGAATGTCGTGTGACAAAGTTATGCATGAATGAGTCACATTTTGAATTTTATATACCTCAGTACATCTAAGTTGTGGGCAGTATCCATTGATTCATGTATATCTTTCTCATCCGATATCCAATTTTGGTGATTCAAGTTGGATTAGAAAACTAACTCAGAATACTACAAATTCTACTTTTCGGGTTTTGCAAAATTTGGAATTAAAAATGATCAAAATCACGTTTGTAGTCGAAAAGGTATTATTAAAGCTCGAACGACATTTATCACATCCCTAAAAATTATGCATAAATAATTATATAATAAAGGGTAAACTACACCAACACCCCGGAGGTATCCTAAAATAACTTTAAAGTCTCTGTCGTATTGATAATTATACTCACTGTACCCCCTGAAACATAGTTAGAAACGCTCATGGGGTAATGCATTGGATAAGTAATTCCGATAGAATTCTAACGGACTACTAGTTTCAAGAAGTGGTGGAGACAACAACGAGCTATGGATGATTTAAGAAATGTTGGGGAGCCATGTCACCCGCTAACTCTATGTTGTCTCCACCACTATCTTAAAGTAATAGTCCGTTAAAACTCTATCGGAATAACGCATCTAATGCATTATTCCATTAAAGTTTCTATTTATGTTTCAGGGGGTGAGTATAATTATCGTTACCACATGGACTTTACAGTTATTTAAGCATACATCATGGGTGTGGGTGTAATTTACCCTAAAATAAAAAATGAAAAAACTGACTGGACCCAGGTTGAACCGGTCCAACCACGACCCAATAATTTATCCGGATCAATATCCGATCCGATTTTCAAAACATTATAATATGATCTCGTGAGAAAGATAAGTTTGTAGTTATTTTCTTATTAGAAACAAAATTTATTTACTTATTTCATCCGGTTATCTGTATGCCAAAAGTGTAAACTACAAAATGAAAAATGTCAGTCCTTTCTTTCTATTTTAATGGTTTGTTTTAAATTGTTGCAAATGTATAAAGAAAATCAATAATATGTATGAATCATAAAAAATATCAAATAATTATCTTTCAATCAAGAAGAGTGATAAATAACAAAATTGAAAGAAAGAAAAAAAAAAATCAACTAATGCTTCACTAGAACAAAACAAAATTCTCAAAAGAAAAAGAAAAATAACAATATGGAAATAAAGGTGTAGAATAAAATAGCAATTTCTCCAACAAACTGACTCATATAATTAAACATTTAAACTGGTCAAAAAAATAATTAAAAATAAAATAAAAAAATAAAGGCAGATTACATAAGCCATTAATAAAATGTCTCCTTAGAACCGTACACACAAACCTCCCATGTTCCCCCACCCATACCCCCATATATACCACCCCACCACCACCACCACCACCACCCTCCTGCAACCAACCTTCATTATTTTCACCATTTTCTAGTGCGCCCGTGTGCCTTCTATTATTCTTCTTACACACACAATCTAATCATACTTTAATTTTGCTGCTGCTGCAATAATACATACATACATATTTGTTTCCATATATAATTATATATAATATGGCGAGTAGTACTGGAGCTGGTGGTGGGACCGGGTCTCCGTGCGGGGCATGCAAGTTCCTGCGGCGAAAGTGCGCGGCGGACTGCGTGTTCGCGCCATACTTCTGCTCGGAGCAAGGTCCCGCCAGATTCGCGGCAATACACAAGGTGTTCGGAGCTAGCAACGTCTCGAAACTGCTGCTGCACGTGCCGGTGCACGACCGGTGCGAGGCGGTCGTCACCATTGCTTATGAAGCTCAGGCCAGGATCCGTGATCCTGTCTATGGCTGCGTTTCCCATATTTTTGCCTTGCAGCAACAGGTTACCTCTTTTTTTTTTTTTTTTTATTTTATTTATTTATTATTATTATATTTAATTTAAAGAATTTTCACATTATTTTGTAACACTGGTTTAGACCGTGGGGAAGTCAGTGTAGGGTTAGGGGCAATTTTGATTTTTTTTTACTACTATGTATGTTTATGAAATTTACTGTATTTTATTGTGCTCCTATAATTTTTAACATTTCAATTTTATATAAAAAATAAAATTAGGTATTTTTAATTGAGGAAAGCAAAGACAAATAATAAATCTATCTACCAAGTATGATAAAAAAAAATTACGAATTGTGACTTGGAACCAACTGCAAGTCCACCCTTGAAAAATAAGTCCAATTTTTTTATTTACCTATCTTTAATTTTGATTTTGTCCCAAAACAAAAAATCTGATTCTTCTTTTTTTTTTTTTTTAGTTTTTTTTTTCTTTTTTTTTTCAGTCATTGTTGTCACTAATTTCCTTACGATATTTTTAATACATATTCAGCCTCTCCAATAATAAAATTTTGGCAGATCTTTAAAAAATTATTTGAGAGCTACATATATATATATATAAAATAACCTAAAAGATTTTTTTTCTTAGTTTTATATTGTCTTTGACTTTAAAGTTATTTCTTGATTCAACTTTCTCGAGCATTAACTCTCTCTTATTACAGTCTTTTCATTTTCATTTATTTAAATGTGACTATATATACTTGATTGAATGTCTTAATATTTCTAGAAAAAAAATCTTAAACGACACATATTTTGAATTCGGCGGATAAGTAATTTAATTTCATATAGTGTTGATGAAATATAATTGATGAATGCAGGTGGCATATTTGCAAGCTCAAGTGATGCAGGTGAAAGCACAGCTGGCACATAACCTAATCAATAATATGGATTATCAGTCATCATCATCAAGAAATCATCATAATGCAGATAATAATAATATTCAATGGCCAGGATCATGCCACAACAATAATAATATTAATATGGGTCCAGCTGGCGGATTAATTGGAGGATTACAATCACAGTTTGCAGTTCAGAATTATATGAATCTATCCAACATTTCACCACAGAGCTCACTTGACTCCATTAATATTAATAATAATGATGGGATTAATAATAATAATAATAATAATAGCAACGGTATGCAAGAAATTCAAAGCAGCAGTGACGAGTACGTGATGACGTGTCCGCCACGTCACAGCAGGAAGCGCCACTCGCAGACTGACTTGAGTGAGCTTCAAGCGCTGGCCCTCAGAATGATGAAGAATGAAAACTGCTGATTAATTTAATTTGCTATTTTTCATCTTCTTTTTAATTTCTAATTAACTTTTGTTTTGTTTTTTGCCTTATTAATTTTGGTGGTAAGTGTTGTATATAAAATGAGGGTATAATATATTATATATCTATATATATTTCTTTGTTGAATTAATTTAACTTGAAAGGCGTATTTAATTTCTATGTCACGCATAATCGACTTACTATATTTCTATGCAAATTGAAAGTATTAATTAACAATGGCTACCCGACTGAGAAAACACGAGCTCGATCGGTTTGATTGACTAAAGATCGAGTTTATATAACATAATTCTAATCATGAAGGAGATTTTCGAGTCCGAATTTAGAGATGAATAAATGATGAATTGATCAAGTATATGAACTCGCAATATAAAACTATATAATTAAGTAGAAGAAATAAACAATAATTCAAACTTGATCAATAAGTATAAAATATACATTTAATTTAACAATCCCCACATGCATGGTGTCATTCAACTAAATGAAAATATTAAATACTAATGAAATCTAAAATTGAATTCAAATCTAATATTCAAAACCCTATGGAGAATAAGAATATGAAAAATTTAAAGTCATGTTGAGGACTAAAAACTAATGAAAAATCACGTGGAGGGCTGAAAAACTAAAAAAAAATCACGTGGAGGACTAATATGAGAATTTTTTGGGGTGATAAACTAAAGTTTCCATTTTAACTTTAAAACTAAAACTGATATTCTAATATATAGGCAACTCTATCGATTTTTTCCGATTCAATTAGTTAATGACTATGTAACACGGAAAGTTCAACTTCTTAACGTAGCTGTGTTTCGGATACGTATCGTGTCCGACACTTGAGGACACCTGCCGAATATATTACGGGTCGTTTTGCAATCTCTGAAAACTTAGAAACTTGTTTGAATAACAAACTTAGGGACATGTAATTTTCCCGTATCTGATTTCCGGTTTCCCCATATCACCATTTATGTGTCCGTGCTACGTAGGCTAATGATAAATGAATTAACATTTAGAAATCAAAATATTAAATAGTTATAATAAAAAGTAGAAAATGAGAATTTTGAATGGGAGCCTTGGAATTTGAGTTGAAGTTTGTTATTTCTTGTCGTTAATCAATTAAGTATGTATTATAATATAATACAATTAATTGTATATAAATAATAATATGATATTGTACGAACGGTTATATATATTCTTTAGTAGTAGAAAAATGATGCATTATTGAGGTACATTTGAATCCTCTCTTGTCTTTTTCTCTTCAAATTATTAAACTAAGAAAACATGTTCGTTTGGTTGTGTACGTAGGGTTGGGGCGATGGTGGGGACGTGGGTGATAATAAAATCTTGATAAGACTACCTAAAACAATTCATCTTTTTATAGTTTAATAATAATAATAATTATAAAAGCAACCTATTATAGAAAAGAAAAATCATAAATCAAAGATAATATGTCATGGTACAAGGAAGATATATTCACCTAGGAGGGTGTTGAGCTAATCTTATAATATGTTAAAAGGAGCTTATAAGATGTTTTAGAGCTTATAAGCTCTTCCAAAGTGTTTGGTAATTTTTTTTAAAAAGATCTTAATTTTTTTTAAAATAAGCTGTTGGAGAGCAAATAAAATCTTTTTAAATAAGTACCTCTATCCCACATTTTTATTTAAGATCTTATAATGAGTAAAAATAGGAAATACGTTTATTATCCAAACACTCTAAAAATTAATCATAAAAACAAGATGTAAAAGCTTATCAGCTCTTAAAACATCTTATCAGACGTAAGAGCTTATCAGTTGTTTAATATAAGCTTAGCCAAACACCCTCTAGGTCTCGCATTGGTAAAGATAT